GGCAGACTCGGGGAGGCAGACAGGTCACCCCCGAACAAAATTGAGAGGAATTGCAATTACCGTTTGCGACTCAGGGCATGCATGCGAGAAATACGAGTAATCAGTAATCGGTTAAAAAAATAGTTGATGCAATTTGGTTTGTAAGCAATGACAGCAAAACTCCTCAACCGAGACACATTTCTCGTGGACTGGAGTTACATACACCCGCACACAGGAGAGCGAGAGAGAGGGGTTCAAACGAAATCAGAACACATCATTAGTGCACAACTTGCCTTACCGAGGTGGAAAACATTGCGAAATAAGGACTTACCAACCAGATAAAATGCTAAACTATCACCGGTTGGGTTAAACGAATCAACGACGCCGAACGTAAACAGTCGATGTCCGGGCAGATGCTGATCGGACAGGCGATATAGTTTGGGTGGAGCGGTAGAAAACTGCAGGCTATTCGATGCTGGATGGGTCGAATTGCTTCCCGTTGGGAGTTGAGTGTTGGAAAGAACTTCGATTTCAACGATTGTGGCAATATTATTGTTCGCGATCCAGGCCGGTTGACCTCTATCTTTGGCGTATACCTGAGGAAATTTAACATCGATCAAATCATAGTTTTGGTCGGAGAAAAAAACGCTGGATTTGGCACAGTTTATGAGGTATAATTTTTTACCACGGTTCACAAAATGGAATCAGAACAGAACCGGACGATTTGGTAGACTAGTGAATCGTGGATAGCCGGTTAGTGACAGACGAAATTATTAGGTTTTACGAATGAACTGGGACTATCTCCATGTCCATATTATACATCATTGCAATACTGACGCCAAATGATAACAAAGGTTGACGATACTTGCACACGCACACACACAAGTTTTCACGTACATGCAGAGAGAACATAAACCTAGTAGTGGGGAACACATAAATACAGTTTAATTTCTCACTATTCCGCGTTCGAACCAAATGGCAAATTTATGCGGTACCAGACAGCACTTTTGAGAACTATCTGACCAATACACAAACGCGGCTGGTTGAATTACAACTTCACATACCCAACCATTCGATCAGATTTAAAGATTGTCTAAAAAGTCCTGAAATCCACAGACGATTGGAAAAACAAGTACATTTTGTCCATGAGACTGTTGACTGCCATTCGGTTGTTTGGTCGTGGAGAAACGTGGTTTACTCATCTCGTCTAACGATCAGGACAGGAACACAGTTTCATCTAATTCTGGACGGAAAGTTTAATTTTTAATATCTACTGAAAACTACTGTGAATTTGTATTCCGGTCCAAATGACAGTCTCTCTGGCCAATTCAGAAGCAGCCGTATTGATGTTTTTTGGAAACATACTACTCTGGAGTATTTAATCCAACCACAGAGCTATTCGTATAATTCCTGTTGTGTGTCTGACTCATAGTGCTCACCATTATTTATCGCCGAATCAATATAGTTCGGCTGCTTATTCCACATAAGCTCAGGAATAACAGATTTGCTCACATAGGCGGCGTTAGGATTCCTGGATGGGGACCCCGGGGTCAACGTTAAGTTTCAGTTTGAACAACCATTAACCACGCATATTCGAGCGCCGGTTTTGGTTGCTGTCTTTTGGCTGCCCATCGGGATGAAGAATAGGAGAAAGGAAAGTTGAAAGTGGAGTTGAAAAGAAAAAGTTCAGTGGTCTAAGGTTGCAAAGAAATTGAGGAGATGCACGAACGCTACTGTTTACGAAACCCAGCCATATCGCTCAGTGTCTC